TTTGTGCTGTGTAACAGCAGTACAAAACGCATATTGTTACGGGGTTGTCTGTGTGTGTGTGTTTGTCCGCAGCAACTTGTCCGCAACTTTCGACTCGGGAACCGCAAAAGCTAGGAAGCTGAAAATTTAGGGTAACGTCCCCAACCCATGTGTGACCCCGCAAATTTAAATTTAGCTTCCCCGTACCCGCGGGTAACGCGTACGGCCCTGTGAAATTTTTTTTGCGGATAAGTTAATATCTCGGGAACTACGGAGTCTAGGAGGCTGAAGTTTTAGGGTAATGACCCCTTGCCCACCTTCAACCTTGCCTATTCAAACTCAGCCTTCCCTTGCCCGTGGGAACAAGTACGGCCCCGTGAGAGTTATTCACGGATAAGTTAATATCTTGGGAACCACGGAGTCTTGGAGGCTGAAATTTTACAGCAATGACCCCCTTGCCAACGCTCAACCTTGCCCATTCAAATTTAGCGTTCTCGCGCTCTTGGTGTTGCCACCTACGGCCTCGTGAAAATTTTGGCGGGTAAACTATTAACTCAGGAATCACGGAAAAATATTCATCCTTCAAGGTTTCGAATTCAGTTTTCATACGCTGGTGCGTGAAATTTTTATTTTTGCATAGACTAAAGGACAAAGCAGTGAAAATCATTAAAAGGCAATCGTTCGATGGGCTGAATTGCACAAAACGCGTGATCGCACCGGCTAGTCTGGCGCGCGTTGCCAATTATTCTTTTTCGTCCTGCTAATGGACTTTGTCTCGTCTGTGCGCATTTACCTGCCGTTTGTGCGTATGTCTGCTTATATGGTTGTGGAGGAATACGGCCAGTAAGACAACCTTTGAGGTTGTGTAACGTCCATTTGCCCATTTTGCGAAATATCAAAGGCTTTTCGTCATCTGTAACCATTAGAAGGAAGAGGAGGAGGTTGGCCTTGTCGGGAAAGCGCTCAACAAACAAACAGAACACTTCCTTATTAGTAGAACCGCAAAATAAATCAAAAAAAAAAAAACAAATAAACAACAGACCCCGAAAATACCCAGCAGCAGCTCCAAGCTGCCGCCGCACAGTTTTTGGAGGAACAAAAACAGTCTCATTTCATTTCTGATTGGTACATTGAATATCACGGAGGGGGAACTCAAGTCAAGAGACGGGACATTTGCATATCACAGGGAACCGAAGGGCAACTGGGCAAAGCGAAGGGTTTTAGCCTCCATCTCCATTTGGTTGCTACTCGCTCCTTCTTCCTTTTGCAACACATCAAACATTTGCGTAGATTGTTATTTCTGTGCTTGTTTGACTGGGAACTTTATTGTTATATACCGGTGTAATGCTGAGCACATCCGAAGATTTGAAGTTCACTGATACATTTTCAGTCTGTCCTCGAGTGAAGATCAGGAAACGCCTGCAGTTGTCATGGAGCAAGCGGAACCACGGAGGAGGAGAGGAAGTCATGTCATAGTTGAAGACACAGAAGAGGAGGTATAAATTGGGACATATCTTCGGCTGTTGACTATTTCCTCATGTAGAATTATCAGTTTTTTTCCGTTTAGTTATGGGTTGCTGAATAGTTTCTTAGCTTGGAGGCCTTTCGTAGATTCTGTATTGCGTTAGAATTTAGTTCAGCCGCGAATTTTTTCTTATCTGAGAGAGAAGCGGCCTGTGCACGACAAAGTAAGGTGCGAATATAAAGATGTGTTATAAGAGCGACTGGAGAATACAAAGCAGATTTCGAGTTTTGCACGCTACCTGTGCGGCATTTTTTGGCCCTTTCTCAGCCTAGGATTTCAGGAATAGGAAGCGCATAAATTGTGGCTCATTAACTGGGATTGTGTAGGAACTGCGTCTTCAAAAAAGAGCGTCTCTGAATATTGGATTCATAAATCTGTTAATTTGAAGCAGCTTACATGTTTGGTTAATTCTTCCTAATTGCATATATTCTCAGAGAACGCCAAAAGATTAGTATTTGGATTTTGTATAGTAACTGTGTCAGTTGATGAAGTAGCTGCAGATTCATGCTTTTTCCCCTGTTTTATTAGTCCCCCTGCAGAATAACTCAAAATGAACCAGTGGTGCACGGGTTTTCCGGCACCCAACAATCTTCATTTTTCATGGAAACTCGTATGAATAAGGTGGTTCATCTTTGTGTATAGGATAATTCATTGTTAAATTAATCTTCGTTTACGTGTATTTAACTTTTTGCTGGTTTTTCTCATCTGTGATATATAACCGGTTATCTGTTTCGTGTTACTTCTCATCCTGTGATTTAATGTTGTTATCCTGTTATGATTAATTAACTGTAATGATATCTCCGTGTGTTTCTCATCCTTGTGATTTAATGTTGTTATTTTGGTGTAATTAATTAACTGTTTTCTAAGCTCCCGGTCTGTTGACTTATTTTTGCTTTAATCCACTCATCTGTGTTTTGCTGTTACACCTGTACTAGTAGTCTACTTTTGTTTGATTTCTGTTACTGCCTTAATCTGTCTAATCTCACTGTTTCATTGTTTTACTTACTCTTTGCTTGTTAATAAATTGCTGATCTGTGACGAGCTTTTCGGTTCAAAACTGCTGTGATATGATGCAGCGATAGCTATCTCAGCGGGGTATCTGGAGGCCAGATGTGAAAAATTGGCCAGCGCACCAGTGTGAAGAGGCGTTTTTTGCATAGTTCCCGCAGGTTTTTGTGTGTTTTGTGCTGTGTAACAGCGTTACAAAACGCATATCGTCACGGGGTTGTGTGTGTATGTGTGTTTGTGTGTGTGTCCCACATTTCGTCCCACACTTTCAACACGGGAACCACAAAAGCTAGGTAGCTGAAATTTTGGTATAGTGTTCCCCACCAGCGGGTGACGCGGCAAATTTAAATTTAGCCTTTCCGTACTCGCGGGTAACACGTGCGGCCTCGTGAAAGTTTTTTACGGGTAAATTAATATCTCAGGAAGCACGAGATCTGCGAGGCTGAAATTTTAAGTTAATGACCCCCTACCCGCGCTCAACCTTGCCCATTCAAATTCAGCCTTTTCGTTCCCGCGGGTAACACGTACGGCCACGTGAAAGTTTTTTACGGGTAAATTAATATCTTAGGAACCACGAAGTTTAGGAGGCTGAAGTTTTAGGGTAATGGCCCCCTGTCCATGCTCGACCTTGCCCATTCAAGTTAACCGTTCTCGCGCTTTCGGGTGTCACCTACAGGCTAGTGAAAGTTTTTAAATTATTATCTCAGGAACCACGAGGTCAAAAAAGTTGAAATTTTAGAGTGTGACCCCCTGCCCACGCTCAACCTTGCCTATCCAAATTCAGCGTTCTCGCGTTCTTGAGTATCACCTACGGCCTCATAAAAATTTTGGCGATTAATATGCAGTCGTTTGATGGGATGAGTTGCACAAAACGCATGTTCGCACCGGCTAGTCTGGTGCTCGTTGCTGTTTATTGCCGCTAACAGCACTGGTTTTTCCGGCAGATGCTTCTAGCTAGAAGAATTTCAGACTTTCCGCCAGGACTGTTAGGAAGCACCCCTTCGAAATTCCAGTCTGCTAGCTTCTCAGATTCCCGAGTTAGCAATTTTCCAGAAAAAAACTTCCACGGGCCCGTAAGTGGGTATCGCGCATACCTTAGCCAAAGTGAAGCAGCGGGTTCATCGCTATGTTGCGCGTATTCTTGCTGCTATATTCCATTGCCTTATTGACTTTAATTATTGTATTTAAAAGTTCTGCTTTGAATTTGTGTGTTTACGCTTAGCAGTAGTAAAGTAGTGCTGCGCAGTACATAGGTCATCTCACGACTTTCGCTTTCTTGTTGCATGTAGCAGATGTAAGGTACAAACAGTGTTGCAAAAGGAACATAGTGTTAACAATAAGGAAACGAAGCTGCCGGCTAAAGCCCTTCGCCTTGCCCAGTTGCCCTTCGGTTCCTTGTGATATGCAAGTGTTCTCTCTCCTAACTCGAGTTCCACTCTCCGTTATATGTATAATGATGTGATTAGAAATGATCTGGGGATTGTTTTCTGTGCCAAATAATTTCTCCCACGCTTATCGGTCTGTTTTGTTGTGTGGGGTTTTTTTTTGTTTTTTTTAAAGCATTGTTTATTAGTTTGGGCGAGTGTCTCCTGCAGCTCCAAAAGAGCACTCTCTACAGACGCACAGGCTCTCCATCTGTCCTCCGCGCGTTACGAGCGAGACGATCCCCTTTTCCTTATCCCAATTGCCGTACGCTCGAGTATTTGAAATGAAAATACTCCCCTCGCCTCTCCCCCTCTCTCCTCCTGTCCCCTTGAGCCTGGGGTCCTGTTCGTAACACATATTGGTGAGATGGTTCATTCCAGAATATATACCGCCTAATTTCGGTTTCTTTCGCGAAACAGCGATGATCTATAGACAAGGAATGAAGAAAGTACGGTTGGGTATGAGGAAGGGTGCAGTGTAATGTGTGTGGTAAGGCAGCCATATGAGTGAAGGGGCCGCAAGCGTTCGTGTATGATGAGTTCTGCGCGAGTTCTGCGAGTAACTTTGCTACTTTTACATCTCCGTGAACTGATAGCTGTGATGTTTAGAAATATCTCTGAACTGAGATGAGGCTGGCGCAGAAAATGGAAGCGAAAGAACAGAACGGTGAATGGGTGCTCTCATTCCGTGATCAGCAGCACAAACTTAACACTGAACAAGACGGTAAGCGTTCTTTTTTCTATTTTTCTGCAATTCTTCACTATTCAGTGTGCGAAAACTCGATGCTGTCGTATAGTGGATGCTTCGGATGCAAAATTTAGTCACTGACGAAAGCAGAAGAGCGAAAGCTGGCTGTGATGGAGAAAGCGAAATGCTTAAAATAAGTACTATGAAAACAGTTAGACTTTTCGTTATTCATGTGACGTATAGGAGGTTGTTACGAACCAGTAGATAAGGAAATTTGGCTAACGGGGCAGCGGAACATTGCATAGCAATCAGTGATAGTAGCGAAAAAGTAAACGGCCACGTCTTTCAGCTGAAGAATTAGCTGCTGCCATAGAAAATGCTCCTCATGTTGATGTGCTCGAACTGCAAGGTAATACAATTGGTGTGGGAGCGGGGCAGCGTCTTGCAGTGGCGTTGGAGCATCATCCTGAACTGAAGGTTTAGCTTTTAATTATCTCTATCGAAATTAACTTCCCTCGGCACTGATGCTTTTCCGAAAATAAAATATTAGAGAAATTGAAAACACACGCTGCTGTTAGCAAACGCAGTATTTTCATTCGAAATTTTGAAATAATGGTACCCATAGTTCACAAGAAGTTGTACGTTAAGCTGGATTGGGAACATAAATACCGAGACCACTTACGGATTTAGAATTACGCCAAGCGGATCCTGAGCTGCATATTAAGTTGGATTGGGACCATGAATACGGAGACCACTCACGGATTTAGGATTAGGCCAAGCGGATCCTGAGCTGCATACCTTTAATGATGATTGATGACGTATGTTTCATTACGGGCTATTCCTTAACGGATTTTTTTTTGTCGGTTGTAGTATTTAAAGTAAAAGGCAGTACGGGCCGTAGAGACCCTGTAGGCGAAAGGAAAAGGCTTGTAACTGAGGGGCAGGAACAACGGCCGGTTCAATGACGGATAAAGACCGGCAAGAGCCGTACCTACCATACAGAATGACTGTGAATAGCCCGTGCGTAGGATGGCGGTCATCCGGAATCCGGTAACAGTAAGTTCGTAAAGGAGGAGAAGGAAAGTAAAAAAAGTCAAGAAGATTGTAGTGTTGCATATTTACAAAAACAGTGTGTCATTTGAAAAAGCCATGTAGAGAGGTGTATGTAAAGGAAGCATGCCGGTGTTTCATCCCTAAGCTGTATAGGTGCGGGAATCATCAGTACAGCCCTCTAACCACCATGTTTAAACGAGAATAGCGTGGATGAGAAAAGAGGTAGGATAAAAACCATGCAGAAAATAATACGTTTTCGAGTATCGTCATTTTCCTTTTTTCGTAATTTCTCATCCATATTACCAAATCTTTAAATTTAAGCCCATAATTTGTATTTCATCAGTTAGCTTATTTTATGTTTTCCACTATGGTTGCATATGTTTACGGATTTTTAAACTGCCACTGTAAGAACAAAATAAAGTAAGTATTTGCTTCAGTTTTAGTGAGTATTAAATTGGAGTAGAAGGATCATTAAGTTAGTATAAAGCAATGTTCTTAGTTATTTAATATGGGCGTTGACAAGTTTCAGCGTGCGCTTTGGAGCGACATATTTACTGGGCGATTGAAAGAAGAGATCCCACCGATTTTGGTCTGCATTTTTATCATCCTTTTGTTCAAGAGTTTTTCTTGTAAAAAAAGTTATTTCGGTGTAGAAAATTGATTTTAGACCTCATAATTCACAAACTTGTGGAAACACCTCAGTGTTGCATACTTTGGGTACTTATTACGTTTCATTGCAGTAACGGCCTAAGGGTGCTAGCTGATTTGCTGCTTTTTTTTTGGATTGATAGAAACTTTTTAAGCTGTCACTAGTATTTCCAACATACTGTAGACGGTTGCAGCGTTCATTTTGCGATGCGATGATCCGAAGTGGCACTGCGCTTGTTGAACTCGATCTTTCGGACAATGCTTTCGGCCCAGTTGGCGCAGAAGGCATTGAAAAATTTTTGGAAAGTCCATCGGCATACTCTTTGGAAGTACTGAAATTGAACAACAACGGATTAGGCGCTGGCGGAAAGGTAAATAAGACTGGTCTATGCCTCTGGATAGGAATTGTCAGTTTTTGTTCATTCTCCCAGTAGCGTGCGAAATTCTTTGCAGTTAGTGAATTACTCATGGAAATGAGGTATTTTTCCTGCATGTTATAGGAAATCGCTTTTAATTGATGCATTTGATTCCAGTAGATCTAATGGAATCAAATTATTAAAACCACATTAAAGCTGAATGAATTACGTTCCTTATTTGGACAGCATTTGTAAAATAGGTGGGGACTTGGGGCATATTCTGGATAAGAAAGCCATTGACGGTTTTGAGAGCGGGCAGTTGTTGTCGTTCTTCATACCCCGCCTCCGCTTCTCATAAGGAGTG